GAAAGAGAATGAATACAAATGAAATGACAAACGCGGGAAAATACAGCGAGGGAGACAATTGATTTTTCAAAACAGCAAACTATTGTTTTACACTCAACTTTGGGAAATGGCCTATTATTGATTTAGGCAATTAGAAAAACAAAGAAATATAACTCCTTGGTGAACATCAACTTATATGGGCTTGTTTGGTTTAAGAAAACATTTGCTATTTTCACAAATAATTACAAAACTGCTACTTCATTTCAACTTTGTTTTCCATCTTCAAAGATTTTCATAAGAAATAGTAAAACATGATTTGTGTTGTTTTTATTATTTTTGCACAAATATTTTGAAATAGGAAACAACGTAAAAATAAAGTGATATTTTTGTAATTATTTGTGTAAATAAGAAATGAGAACAAAAAACATCTTACAGACCCTAAATCAAATTATATGTATTTTTGCTAGGAAATCACAGGAACATTATGAAATTATGAGAAAAGAGAATTAAGCATAGATTAAGAGAAGAGATTGGGATTTCAAAGAATCAATTTAGTTTTACGCCAAGTAGGTCTTTATGTGAAGCTATTTATCTTCTACTAGGAGGACTGATGTAAAGAGACAAACAAATGGTTTTTATTTACTTGGAAAATTTTTATGCTCAAGTGCTAAGAGAAGTATTTTAGAATGCTTTGGAAAAGAAAGGTATTTGCGAGACTTATATCTAGACTATACAAGACATACAAAGACATAACTACTAGCATGAAAACTCCTATAGAAGAGACTAGGGACTTTTGTGCAAGGGTAAGTTTACATAAGACTCGGCCTTTTGTCCTTTTATTTAGTCAGGGATGTGTTCACCATGGACATACAAAATATTATCCCTAAATACATGCTATTTGCGGTCAATATAGTTCAAACTTTAGAATAAAAAGAAGTTAACTCTAAACTTGAGCTTTGGAGACATACTTTGAAATCAAAGGGATTTTGCTTGAGTAGGAGTAATAATATACAGTGTAGAGGGGAAAAAGACAAAAATGCTTCAAAGGTAAAAATGGGAGATGCCACACAAATTTCAATGTTTAAGAACTAAAATTAATAGTACAAAATGATGTGGAAACTAATGAAGATGTCACACACAAGATGCATGTTATGTGGTTAAAATTAAAGAAGGCATTGAGGTTATTTGTGACTGCAAAGTGTTGAGGAATACTCCATAGTAGTAGATGTGGTTGGACTTTAAAGGAAGAACACAAGAAAAGTGAGAGTAAAAGAAATTAGAATGTTAAGATAGATGTACGGTCACACACAAAAAAGACAAGGCACAAAATAATTGTACACAAGGAGATATTGGTATTTGGTGTGACAACTGTTGAGGAATAGCCAAATAGATGACAGAAAATTTATTAATGTGGTTTAAACATGTGCAAAGAAGACCATCAGAGGCACCTGTGGAGAGAGTAAATCACATGATTTCTAGCCCTGTGAATAAGGATAGAAGGAGATCAAGAAATACATCCACCAAAGTCTTATCCCAATAAGTGAGGTTGACTACATGGATCACAAAACATTATTTGGCTCGATTAAGGACCAAATTTTTAGAGATATTATTTGCCATGAGATCCCCTACAACTTCCTCCAAAGTTATTCTTCGACTTCCCTTCCCCCGCTCCAGGCCTAAAAACTAAAAACTAAAAAGCATACAATCTGCTCTCCTCGTTTCCAATGGCCTTCTTTGCACATGAATAATATTCCTAAGAATTTGGTTTTTGACCAAGTATAATGGGGTTGTGTGTTCCATGTAGTTAACCTCACTTGGTGAGATAAGGTCATCGTTATTGTTATTTGCTAGTAAGTCATAAAGTCAACACATGACAAATAATTTTTCCTCCAATATAAGTTATTCAATTTTAATTTTTCTCATCTCGTGACAATTTTGAAAGAAACAAAAGAAAGAAGCTGATATTTCAATAAACTAAGGTTTCTCGGAAGAAAACCAATTCAGATGGTTCTAGATGTTGCGACACGTCTTGGAATGAACTATCCATATCATATATATTGGAAGATACATGCATTATGCATTAAAATTGGGTTCTTCTCAACTTAGAAGCATATGCTGTTCTGTCAATTTGCAATGAGAATAATGGTCCACAAACCATGGACAATTGAAGATGATTTCAAATAGGGCAAAAAATTTTATAGCATCAAAATATGCTTTATTAAGTAGGAAAATACACACATTAGAAATAAGGAAGAACATATAAAAGCTCTGCAGGTTATTTGCGAAACTAATTTGATAATGTCTATATCATAATCTTTCCCTTGTAAATAACAAATGTATTGTTATTTATGAGCAGTTTAACAAAGGAAATGCATAGCTGCCATTGCAGAGGATCCAAATTTCTCCCTCAATATCAAATATTGAGAGTCCTTCACAATAACTTATCACGCATGAAATTGAACAGAATAACCAACATGAGAATTCTTATTCGTGATTAAAAATATCTAAACACAAAAACTTCTAAAGGTGGTCGTATTGAGTCCACAAATGACTTGAAATTTCAAAACTAACAAACTAGGGAGGGAATTGCAACGAATTGGATACCTATCCATTGCCCTAAGAGAAAAAAAAAAAAAAAAAACAGAAGATACAGGCATATCGCTGAGAATGAGAAATAATCACTTAACTTAATTGACTATACGTTTCAATTTTTCACCACTAAACCCGTCCTATCACTTATCAGCATAAATGCTCAGGACGTGCAAAGAGAGGGGGAAATAAGCCAAACAAGCAATGCTAAAACTAAGGCGAACGATCATAACCCAGAAACCAGATCAAAATGGTGTTCCTACTTTAGCCAAAATCCCAATTTTTTCATACCTCGATCAAACCTGGGCATAGGTTTGTTCATTTGGAAATCACTAATTCTACGACATTTATAGTACCAACTACATTGCGAAAAGCGAAGAAAAAATTAAAACAGAAAGCAACATTTTGAAAATAGGTAGAAAGAAAAGAGTGAAGTAACCTGAAGAAACTTGGAGTCTTGGTCAAGACGCTTCAATTCGGCAAGAATCCGGTGCTTGCCCCTCTTATCAGTCCCTCCTGCACCCGCAGCCGAAACGACAACGGTTTCTTCGTCCGCCGACGACGCCGTTTCAGACGCCATAAGTAAGCGTCAACTAGCACTCATCCAGCAAAACGCTTCTGCTTAATACGACACAGACACAGATCTGAAACGCTATGAAATAATGATTATAATTGACATTAGAGATAAAAAAGGAAGGTGTTAAGTGCTATGGTGGTGCTTTCTTTTCACTAATCCAAAAAGCCCTTTCTCTTTCTACGCACTCATCCAAATGGAAATTATATACCCATCAAAAAGCTACCCTTTTTTCTCTCTTCCTGTCTTTTTCATCTCTTAAACTCTGCTTATTGCTTAACCATTAGCAACACGCTGTTAGCAATTCAGATGACTCGGTCATTCCAGTTTTCCAGAACAACTTGAATTATCATACTACTCAACTCGTTAACTATTAATTAATTCAATCACTCACTTTATTCTTTTCAGATTTGATTATCAAATATGTTTATGAGAATAAACCCCAAATCAGGGGGTTACACATGGAAAGTGAATTAACTATGACTTAATAACGGCATCAAGAAACAACACTTTTTTTAACCGTCAAAATTTATCCATGTACAATAATTCACGTATTTTACTCGATTAAGTGAACTATTAAAATTATACTTGCTTGTAGGAATTGATTCCATTGATAAACACTTCTTTTAACAATATGATTTCTTTTATACCCATTGTTTACACCTTATTTTATTTTCTTTTAATTTCTTATTTTTCTATCCGTAACGGTGTTATTTTTTTTAACGACAGAGGAAAAAAGAAAATATAGAGATTAAAAATAGTAAATTTTAAGTATGACTAATTGGATAGTATTATTTCGTGAAGCGAGTGTACAATGGTGTCATCTTGCAATTGACATCCAGCACGCATTGCAACAACAAGCTCAGAGGAACCAAATTCTCTTCCTACTGTTTTACTCCTTATTTCAACACTTTCAAACAATCACAAAACCAACACACAGCAGCTAGAATCTCTTGTCTTCACTACTCCAATTGAACATCACTGAAAGATTTTAGTTCCACAGTTGGCCACTCGTGATTCTTTTGAAAACTCAAAGCCTCATTGGCAGTCTCAAGCTTCTCTCCATCGCCCCACAATGCATAGGCAACCTCCCCGTGAACCGCCTCATCCCCAACTTTCAACTCATCTTCATGCAGCCTCAGTGGAACTATCACCTTAACCAACCCACACACGATGAAAGTTGTGGTGACATTCAGGAGTATCACAAACGCAATGCCAAGAAGCTGAACCCCCATTTGCCTTAACCCTTCCTTGGACCTACCCGTGAATATGCCATAAGCAAGGCCTATGTAGTGTTGTGAATCTTGTTCCCCGTAGAAGAGACGACAAAGGTTAGGGTCAGCAAAGAAGCCAGCTAGAATGCCACCTAAGGAACCAGCCACAGCATGAGTGTGGAAAACTGCCATGGTATCATCCACCTGTTTCAGGATCCTAATTTCTTTGTGCAGGACCATCATTGTGTACCATGGGATGCTTCCAGACATCATTCCCATTATCATTGCTGCCCAACCTTGAACCACACCTATACAAAAATACATATATAAATTTCACATTTTCTAACAAATATAAAAACTCTGTTTAGATATCTCTACCGAAAATAAAAAAGTTTTGTCAGTAAAAGTAAAAGACTGTCTAAAAAATGCTCAAGTTAAGTTATGTAAGGATATGGTACCGGCAGCAGGGGTGATGCAAACCAAACCAGTGATCATGCCTTGAGTGGCACCAATGACAGAAGGTTTTCCAAACAAGAGGATGTCAAGGAAAAGCCAAGTCAACAAGCTCATGGCCGTGCACACGTGGGTGTTAAGGACGGCCAGAGATGCATCTATGCTGGCTGTGTATGGATCTCCACCGTTGAATCCACTCCATCCCATCCATACTAGCCCAGCCCCAGCCAGCATTAGAAGTATGTTGTTTGGAAGGAACCTCTCCCTATCCTTTATTGCCCTTGGTCCTACCTGCAAACAAAATCACACACCCCCACTTCTTTATACATCCATCTTGTATATACGTGATGACGTCAAAATACTATATATTCTTACCATATTACTATTTAAACTCATATTTAAAGATGGTATATATGGACATGTATCATAAATTTGTTAACTAGTCAAATAGCAGTGTATGTATAAGAAACATGATCCAAACAAATGACGTACACAACATGCTGCGATGAAACCAGCAACCCCAGAAGAAAGGTGAATAACAAAGCCACCGGAGTAATCAACGAGGCCCATCTTGAACAACCAGCCATGAGGGCTCCATATACTGAAGGCACAGATGGTGTAAGAGAAAGTGAGCCAGAGTGGAACAAACAGCATCCAGGCGTGAAAGTTCATTCTCCCAAGCAACGCTCCCGCGAGGAGAATCAAAGTGATGGCAGCAAACACAAACTGGAAGTAGACCATAGTGGCGTTTGGAAAGTTCCCTGCAAAAGCCGGACGCAGAAGGAATTCCCGGTCCAAGGCCACGTTTGGCCATCCCAAAAACGGAAACATCCCCTGGCCGAACGACATCTGGTAGCACCAACCCACCCAACAAACGAGAACCGCCGCAAAAGCGTATAGGGCCATGAATGCAGAGTTCAAGGCCCATTTCTTCTTCACTATGCTGCCGTAGAGGATGACCAGGCCCGGAACACTTTGCAGGCCCACCAGAGTAGCTGCCGTTAGTTGCCACGTGTTGTCTCCTTTGTTAACCCACTCTGGGCTCGTTTCATCGGGTAACAGGTTTGACGGTAAGTGATTCATTTCTGAATTCTGATACTCTTCACTGTTACAACTTAGAATAACCAAATGGTTTTCACGCGAAAGTACAATTTGCATGATATGTATTTCTGTCGTTACTCTGCTATATCAAGTGTATAATTGGAATTTGAGTGTCTTGCATACGTTCATTTTTAGAACGGAGAATCCAACGCCACACTAGAGCATTGCTGGTAACATTATTATACTATAATATTCTGATCGTGAGTTGTACTTATTTCTTGTATTAAATGCTGAATATTTAACCAAGGAGTTTGGCCATTGGTGGTTACATTATTGTAGTTAGTTATGGTTTAAATTATAATAATCTTATCATGACTTGGGCTTATCAACCAATAGGCAATTCTGAGGGATGATAAAGTAGTGTACATTAACATCAATTACGTAATTTTTTTAAGATAAAGTAGTGATTTGTCATCATGATTTGATATTTAATGATTATATATATTAATAAAAATTAAAAATAATATAAAAAAATTTCATTTTTACGAGTAATTGACATTTATTTATTAATAAAAAATTTATTTAATTTTTAATTTTTAAATATTATATTACTAAATGTTATATAATTATTATATTATTTAAGTATGAATAAACGTTAAAATTTAATAATTAATAAATGTCAACTTGATGGAAATGATCAAAATTCAATAATTTTAAAATTAGAAAAATTAAATGACTTTATTTTAAAATAGAAGAACTAAAAATTAATAAAAATAAATGGATCAAAAGTATAATTTAATCTATTTTTTAAATTACTTCTAACTATATAAAAAATTGTTCTATGAAATAAATACTAAATAAATATTTATTTAAGTTTAAGATATAATTTACAAATGTGTATTTACTTCTTATTCATGTTTTTTTTTATTTATAAAACTCAATGGCGTAATTTACTAAAATTGGAAATTTTGGTTAATTTAGTTCATAGTATGAAATTTGTTCAATATTTATGTTTTGTTTTAAAATTATTCTTAATATTAATGAGATTTTTACTCTACTAATTATTATTAAATTAAGAAGAATAATTTTAATAAAAAAATATTTATGATAATAAAAAAATTAATATAAGAGGTGCTTTTAAATTGGTTTTTATAAAAAAAAAATAATTAACACTTTTGATTTGTTTTCTTCTTCATTTTTTTTGGGGCTATATTTTAGCACTTTTGATTTGAGAATGGAAGAATAAATAAATTTGAAAATTGGAGGTTTTCGCACGTGTCTCTTTTTCGGCATATATAAACTCTTGTGCCCCATGCTAATTTTGGAAAGTTTGCAGTGAATTTTCTTTTATATTTGTCTTTAACTATTTTGAATCTAATTGTAGCGTAGCAAGTTTTAAAGGTCCAAAGTCTAGTGTGAGTAATTTAGTAGCCTAGAATGGACCGTTTTCAAACTGGAACAGGCTGTTCCAAACTACTAAATAAGCCTATAAATCTTAGATTGAAACGGACAATTCCAAAATAGTCATTGTGAGTTAAATTCAACTCCAGAACGGGACATTCTGATTTAAGAATGGCCCGTTCTAGACGTGCCAGAACAAGTCATTCTAGTTTCAGAATGGGCCGTTCTGCATGTGAATTTTACACATGATGAACGAGCCCAGAACGGGCCGTTTTGACCACTTCAGACTTCTATAAGTAGGACTTGTGTGCAGTTGAGGAAAAATAGAGGTTTTAGAGAGAAGTTCTAGAGAGAAGGACTCTGGACTAGAAAGCTTGTTTTTGGAGGATTAAAGTTCAAGAGTCAAGCTTTGGAGGATATTTCTTCTTATTCTCCTTCTTCTTCTTCTTCTTCTTCTTCTCATATTCTTGGCTTTTAGAGCCAATCTTCAGGTAAGGGAAGCTAGATTGTATGTTGTTTGGTTATATGTGAGTTTAGGAACTCATATGGAGTATGAATGTTGAGAATCATTGATTGATTTGAGGACTTTCTCATTTTTCAGGGTTTTGGAAAAAATGGGATTTTTGATGATTTTGATGCATGGTTGATTTCATGTTGAATTTGAGGTTATTTTTGAGTTGTATGGAGTTGTATAATTACATTGAGATGTATGATGAGTAGAAAGTGAAATGAAGAGATGCATGTTGAGTATAGTGTTGTAAACTAAATGAGTAGTTGTGCCAAATAGAAATGTGTTGAATATGTAATATGTTGTTAAAGTTGCTATATGTTATGTGTGGACATTTATATGTTGTGAAATATGATGAGATGATATAGTTGAAAGTTGTGAAGTGCATGATGATAATATTGTGAGTTGTGAGAAGCATGATGTAAAGTGTGTAGATGTGTTGAGATTTATATAGATGTTATTAGTAGACTGTGTTGTTAAGTTGTTAGAGGAGAGTTGCATGTTGCTATAAAGTTGTATGTTGTGCCATGTGTTGAAAAGATATTACTTTATGATGATTGAGTTGTAAATTATGAGTTGAGCTAATAAGCTGTTGAGTTGACTGTGTTGTTTAAAGTTGAAATGAGTCGATCATTGAGCTGATGAGATGATAACCATGTTGTTTAAGTTGAAATTTGATTGAGATGATGAGTTGAAAAGTTGTATGTTGTTTAAGTTGTTGAGCTGAGTTGTGCTTTTGAGTTGTAAGCTGATTAAGCTGTGATGATGAGTTGTTGATCACTAGGACTAGGAGAGATATTTTCAAAATTGCTCATCCCATTGTGTGGATTGAGATAGTTGTGGTGCTCTAAGAGCCCAATTTGTTGAAAAACCCTCCTTGGAAAGTTGTCCCTTGGAGTGGACGTTGTGTTGTTCTCCTTTCGGACTCAGTTGATCCCGTGTGTGGGCAAGGTCGAGGCATACATGTACAAAGCAACCACGGTATAGGGGCTAGGTCGAGTTATACCGATTACAAGCGGCCAATTTGAGTAAAGTACGAAGTCGAAAACTTAGTTCCTAACCGAGTATCGGAGGGTTATAGTATTTGGAGGATAGTCGGTAGGCTAATCCCATAGGTGGCTTAGTTGAGCTAGCTAATGCCGTGGTAGGCCTAAACCTAGTTGTTCTATCCTGACATAGTATTATACTTCCTTGCTTAAGTGGCAAAGTCTGAGAAACCGTTATCGTGTTGTGGATTGGTATCCAAATTTGTTGTTTACCTAGCAAGCCCAAAAAGGTTCTGTATTGTCGGTTCGGTAGGACCTAGCCACTTAGACTGCTCACCCATGTTATAGGAGATCTCCGAGTTGAAATGCGTGACGATGCATAAGTTGTTGATGAGTTGATTTATTGTTGATACGAGTTGTATATATGTTGTTATGTTGTTAAGCTGTGATTGTGTTGTATGTTGACTCTGTTGAGGAAGATGATAGTGTTGTTATGTTTTAAGTTGCTTTTAAACATGTGTTGATGAGAGATGAGAGATGTGTAATACATGTGTTGGTTGTTGTTATGATGAATATGGTAACTATTTCAAATGGTTTGTACAGTAGTTGTGTTGAAGTATTGATCAGTCTTGATATGTTGAAGTATTGATCAGTCTTGATATGTTGAATATAAGTTGAAATGATGTTAAAATGTATAGTATATGTTTTGTTTGTCTTCTGTGTTGGATGTGAAGATGATTATATAGTTGTTGTGTTTCATATTTAATTATTATGAATTATTTATTGTCTCTAGCTTACCCTTGCATGTTTCCATGTAGTTTGGACTGCGATGATCATACGTTGTATGGGAGTAAGACAATGATAGGCTGGGAGATAACTGTTAGAGGTCACAGGAGGTGCCTGGAGATGGATATTTTTTTGTAGGCTACCTTATAGTAGCATATTTTGTTGTATATAACTGGTTGTTGTTGGTTGCTTGATTAGCAACTTGTGTTGTAAATATTTTATTATACTATTCTAGTATATATATTCCAGTAGTGTGTAGTGTTGTTTCGTAGTGTGACGGCCACGACAGGTCGTTACACTAATGTTCATAATCTAAGTTCAGATGGAAATTAAATCTGAACCAGTCTTTAGTTGACCAGTCTTTGGTTACCCAAAACTTTGAAATTTAAATTCTTTGGTTCTTAACCCAGCATAAAGCTCTCAACCTTTTCGATTCTCTTCTATCTCCACTAAATCAATTATAATCTTCTCTGGTATTTTATATTATTTTAATTTTACGTTAATCGATGCTAAGTTCTTTCTTTCATATTAGTTCATCTTTTGACTTAAATTTAATTCTTCTTATATTTTATATACTTTTACTTACATTTAAATACTTTTTCATTAGCATTTAAGACGAGATTATGAAATAGATGATATCCAATTTCATTTATTATTTTAAAGAAAATAATTAACTCTAATCTTATAAGATCGTTCTTTCGTATTAATTTAAATTTTATTAATATTTTAACATATACATTTCACATGTTAAATATTTATTATATAAAACTAAATTTTATAATAAATTATGCACATAAATAAATACTTTTTCATACTTTTTTTCTTCTTTACTTCTTTCTCTTCTCAAATCCATTTTAGACTTTCTTAGCTCTACAATGTTAGAATTCCACTGTTATCCAATACTGATCTTCCCTTTAATAGGAATGCCTCTTCAGATAGCAGTATCCATGCCACAATTACTATGTCAGAGAACATTCTTGCGATGAGTGATAGCGTTGTCGAGTCAATATCAAAAGTAAATTAGATTTTTTCTAAAAATTTGTAATACAAGAAACATCTTAAATCATTTTTCACAAAGACACAAACACATTTATTTCATATTTTATCACACAAAATTAGAAAAGGGGTTTAATATTTCAAATAGTATTTAATCAACAAAACAAAGAATTAAGAATAAAAAATTTAATCATAGAAGGTTTTAATCCATACGGCAAAATTTTTATAGTTTAACAATAAATTAAAATTCTCAATCAACCTATTTCAACACGAACTTAATAAAAAAATGTAGATCTAAATTTAAATCTATGAATTCCATAAAAAATGAAACGTAATCGCGAATTAACAATTTTAATAAAATTTAAGAACGGTGATTGATTAAATTAGGTAATTTACGTTATTTTAGGTTTAAATCTAAATCTAAATTTAGATCTAAAATTAATCTTCAATCTCTATTCTAGATCCAAAATGGAATTCACAATCATGAAGAACGAAAATTAAACCTAAAACAAAAAAGAAGAGAGAAATAGAGA